ATATGAAATGATTTGTAATGATTCAAAATGATTTGAAATAATATTAAATGATATGAAATGATATGAAATGTTATGAAATGATTTAGAGTGATATGAAGTTAGAAAAATCATAAAATTATTACATGTCTTCAGATTATCGCAATTCAGTGATAATGATCCTTCTCCTCTTGACTTTTCTTAAGAGGGAGATACAAGGCCATCTGATGTGGGAGAATAGGACAATCTAGGCATTTGTCTATTCTTTGTCAGAATATTGTTCTCCTGATTATGTAATTCAATTTGTGGCATTCAACTTATATCGCACTTCTCCTGCTTAAGCTCAGATTTCCAATTTATATGCTGTTTTTTCACTTGTATCTGCCTTCCTGCCTTGACGACGTATAAAGACTGCATTTCAGACTTTTTTCCTTCGGGGAGCTAATATCAGGCCCTTTTGCACTTCAGTCTGCGCGAATTGTGGTCTTGTTGAGTCCTTCTTTCGCCGCGAGTTGCATCTCCCTCCCCATCGGAGCCCGCTTATGTCGCCAACGGCATTCGCTTGTGCATGACATCGTCTGAGTATTTTCTCGACGCCCCCACCCAGTTCCCGTCAGTTCCACACATTCATACAGCCTCGACTCCGAGTCCCGTCACTCAGTTCTCCCACACACTTTTGTCCCGGCCCACTTTTCTCTCGTTGTCATGCGATGCAATTCAACCCGATCAGTCGCAGACTGTACCTGACCCGGCGTGAACTGGGCATTTTGCGGACACATTTGCGAACTGCATTTGAACGCGAGCCCAAGTCGAGGACACGCCTGCACAAGAAAGTGTACACAAACCGACCGTGCTCCGCTCGCCGGTTCCACCGGCACCAGCACCGGCAAGAGTGACTCTGCCCGTCCGCCGGAGGGGGTCAAGGCGAGCTTGTTAATGCCAACCGCGCCGACCCGGACGACAAGGGAAATGCGCAAAAGGGCGCACCGGCAGTCTCTTCTGCCTCGTCTCTGCCTCGCAACCGTCGTGTCTACGAGGCATCCTAAAACCAGCCTCAACTGGCCCGTTCAGGCCACCATTCTCTCCTCTCCCAAGGCCAGTTCTGGCTGTGTTTTGGGTGAAACTGTCTGCATCACCTCGTCTTGGCCTCTTCCAGCCTCACTTTTGAAGGCATCCGTTGTTGCAGTTGCTGCGAAAGCAAGCGGGGTCTTGAAGTCTCGACTGGACCCACCAGAAGCCGAAGGAGGACTGCGACAATGGGCCGCATCGACAGTCAGCCTCAACAACTATTACTACTACTTCCGATGATGCTGGTGCTAATGCAATTCAACTTTTCCTTCCAAATCAAAAGTTGAAAGCCACACTTGTTTTGCGCGCCAGAAGCTGTCCTCGCCATGCTCTGACAGCATTTTAGAACTGCCCGGCTGCAGAATTGGTCGACCGTTTTTCACTTTAAACTCGGCTTCCCGAGACTACCAACAGATCTAATCTAAGGATCGTATTCTCCATATTTCGTTTCGCGGGATGAATAACTGATATTGTGGTAAAATGGAATGAATACAGCTCGTATATTCACCGTTTTGGTTGTCTCCTGAACTCTACTGGGTGTGAAATGCACTCCCTCTCCGCACGGCTTCCAATGATCATAACCTTTCATTGTCTCCTGCTCATTCGATCCGCATTGAGCTCTCGTTTTCGCCTCTCCTTTTGCTCACATTCATACCCACACACACACACGCATACATGCCGCACACATTTCACATACATGAGGACACGATCACACTAATGCAAGCTCACAACTCAGTCATACGTTTCTGACGCTTCCGGCTTCGCCAGAGCTCAGGAAACCGAGCATCTAATTTTACTTTTGCCCATTTTGCCCTTTTTCCGGTTGTGTTGGTGCAACAGGAGCAATCTGCTCTTCTCTGTTTATACCAAAAGATAGATCTTTTGTGGTGTGTTATCGCCGGGGTTGAGTTCGATTCCGCCCACGATGACTCGGTGGTGCGCCATGCGTCCACAAAGTCTATTTTCATCGTCCCTTTGGCACGAAAGTGAAAGGATGCTCCTCCTGGATCCCATGAACTTCGTGTTAATCGGGAGCCCATGCCTATTCACCGACGGGTTCGTTCAAGGCCGAGATCATCATCATCATCATCATCATTACCGAAACTTTGATGGTACAACCAATATCTTTTGCAAAAGAACTTAGTTGCCAAAAATATGTTTCATCCATGTTGGACTGGACTCCAGTTTCCACCTCGCCTCATTGTCCTTCATCCACACCACAAACGGGACTCGAACTCGGGTGGTGAGTAAAATGGCGAAGTCTACCACTCCACTACATGGCTCCGAGTTCCAGTGATTAGTTGGGCAGATGCGACAGTTAGGATGAGCTAGGCCTATTTCAACTAACATGGTCGTTTAAACAAACATGTGTTTGCCATTGCGATCAACGGCGCTACTTATTTTCGATATAAGTAGGCTTCGAGACTATCAATAATTCTTAAATTTAGACCCCGCCTTTTCAGGAGATTTAAAGACTGACAGTTGGATTGTCCATAATTAACTGAACGGAAGGCTTCATGATGTTATTGCATTCCACTCAGTTTTCCTTTCCAAAAGGCTTCCCTAATTCGGACTATGCGTTTTGAAAACTTGTTGGAAGCGCGCTTTCAAACCCAAGCGAGGTCGAACCAGCGGTCCAATCTGGACAAGAGAACATGTTTGTAGGTGCTGTGACGCATTCTATTCGTTACATTCTAATGATCCGTCTTAAACCAGCCATACTAATTAGTATTCATTTAGAGCATCTTTCACATCACTCAGATATTCTTGAACTAAGCCAGCCCAAGTTGCTTCAGGTGATTTGAGGGATTCTGGTGGAATTTTCTCCG